ATTAATGATCACTCATTTATATCAGCCCTTTGTATTCAACCTATCGAAATAAACCTACATTTCTTTTTTTAAAAATATATTTTATTGACTTTTTTACAGCGAGAAAGGGAGAGGGATAGAGTTAGAAACATCGATGAGAGAGAAACATCGATCAGCTGCCTCCTGCACACTCCCTACTGGGGATGTGCCCGCAACCAAGGTACATTCCCTTGACTGGAATCGAACCTGGGACCCATGAGTCCGCAGCCTGACACTCTATCCACTGAGCCAAACCGGTTAGGTAAACCTACATTTCTATGAAAATTCAAGTTTTGGTTTTTTTTGCAGCTCACATAAACTTAAACCTTATTTATATGGCTCATGTTAGCCTTTGAGCTTGACATGATTAGTATATGGAAATGATTCAAAAAAGAGTAACAGGCTGAAATGGCAAACAGCATCATCTGAAAAACCAACTTAACCTACAGTCAAAAAATGTGTGTGGAGAGTCAGTCAGCGTAGATTGTCAGGAAAAGCACAGTAAGGACCTCCGTTGTGGCCCAGGGTGCTGTGCACTGTGGTGAGGGCTTGTACTCAAAAGGACTCTGTTCCAATCCAAGGACCAATGGTGCAAACACAGGAGACTGGGAAAGAGGACGGGAGTCCACAACATGACCGGGCTGAAGGGAAAGCATGTTGAGAGCCAGTGTCTCAGCCAGTAGGGATATATAGCACAGAATCACATGGCAGTGGGTCCTATGCAGGAATAAGACGTGAGCACCCCTCCACTGAGACCAGGGTCATGTAGGACTCCAGCATCACTTCCGAATATTAGGTCACAAAATTCATGTTAAATCGTATCCTATCCTGAAGGGTGAGTGTCAGTGTCACACATGAAGGGTCAAACTGAAGCATGAAATTCACCCCAGTAAATAGAATGGCAGCATGACACCCAACTTGTGGGCACAAGTGCAGAGACCAGCCCTCATTACCGAGGTCTCCTGAGGGTCATAGTTTGTGCTGGGATCAGAGGGAAGGTAGACAAACAGCAGCTCACTCTGAAAGAAGGTTCCCCTGCAGAAACCACTGCACTGAGAAATGATGGTGTCCCCTGCACACAGGGAGGCCAGGGGCAAGTGGTCTGAGGTGTACAGGGAATGGGAGGAAAAGCATAACTGCAGCCATGGAAACAGGAGCTGCAGCTGAGCCACCCTGGGCCTCAGACTGTACCTGCTCCAGTGAGGGCTGCACATCTGAGGTACGGACTGTGTCTGACTCTGGAGAAAATAATAGATAAAATCCAGTCCCTTGAACCTGACACTCGTCTGTGGTGTAAACTGGGGGAGCTGACTTCATTTCTCTGACACTGAACTTTTTCAGCAATTTGATATGGGCCGCACCACAATGAGTCCTGAGTGCCCACAGCACCTGCCTCCCTGCAGCAGAGTCAGCGGCTTCTTATAGGTCCCATTTCTCACTAAAATGCACCCGAAGACAAAGGTACTTGTGGGCATCGGAGGAGTGAGAAGCGCCTGCCTGCGAATGTCTCTGCAGGGAGTGGCTGAAGTTGCTGGAGCCAAGGCAGGCTGCAGGCACAGGTGCATTACACAAGTGGACACCTTTCCACTGGACCTTCTCCAATAGCTCCGGCATGGGGACATACCTCATACTTGTTTTTCACAGGAGGAATCTGACTTACACCAGCAGAAGGGGTTATGTCATTGTAAGTCCCAGTGATAATAGAGAACCTGAAATTCAAATCTAGGATGCCTGATACAGGGCATAGGGAATCTGCTCACTGCCCATTTCCCACTGCATTGGCTTTTGGCCTCTAAAACAGGTACCCACCCAGATGTCCTCTGGCCTTCTTGAGAGAACTGTTCCAACACAAGAATCTCCATGACAGGAGACAGGGAAAATGCAGCAGACTACAAAGCAAGGGCTTAGTGCAGGATCAAATGACTGGTGTTCTGAAAGCAATGGAGAATGTTTGTAGTACAGGTTAAAATTAAAAATGTTCATTGCACAGGGCCTAGCATTGAAAAAGTAATGACTCACCCAGCTGGTATGGGTCAGTGCTTGAGCTTCAACCCGTGCACAAACAGTTCCTTGGTTAGATTCCCAGTCAGAGGACATGCCTGGATTGCAGGCTCCATCTCCAGTAGGGTATGGAGGAAGCACTGATTAATGATTCCCTCTCATCATTGATGTTTCTTTTCTTTTTTAAGGTAAGGGACTCAATTTTCTTTAATGTTTTATTGATTTCACAGAGGAAAGAGTCAGAAAGATAGAAACATCAATGATGAATCAGTGATAAGCTGCCTCCTGCAAGCCCCACCTGGGGATTTAGCAGGGGCCCATACATGTGCCCAGAGTGGCAATGGAACTGTTTCTTCCTGGTTCATAGGATCGACTGAGCCCCCTCGCCTAGCTATCATTGTTTGTCTTTCTCTCTCTCCACCTCCCTTGGTTTATGAAATCAATAAAACTATTTTTAAAATCAATTAAATATATTTATTAATTTAGTAAAATAAATTAAAATATTTTTAAATATATATATTTTTTATGATCAGATTATTTTTTATTTTTATTTTTTTAAATTGTTTTATTGCTTAAAGTATTACATATGTCCCCTTTTTTCCCCGCCCTTGACAATCCCTTGGACTCCCCTACACCCTATTGTCTTATGTCCATTGGTTATGCTTATATGCATGCATGCAAGTCCTTCAGTTGATCTCTTACCCCGCCCCTCTCTCCCCACCAACCCCCCCGACCCTCCCTGGCCTTTAAATATATTTTCATTGATTTCAGAGAGGAAGGGAGAGGTAGAGAGAAACAACAATGAGAGAGAACGACTGATTGCCTGCCTCCTGAAGGCCCCACACTGGAGATTGAGCCTGCAACCTGGGCACCTGCCCTTGACAAGGAGCTCACCCTGGTCCTTTCAGTCCGAAGGCTGATACTCTATTCACTCAGCCAAACCAGCTAGGGCAATTAAAATATTTTTTTCTTACAGAAAAAATATTAAAACATATTATCCCAATACAAAAAATGTTTATTTTTTAAAGTAAAAATGCACAAAATGAGTGAAATGCCAACATCCATCTTTGTTTTTCCACTGTCCTATTGGTTTTTTTTTTTTAAATATATTTTATTGATTTTTTACATAGAGGAAGGGAGAGAGATAGAGAGTTAGAAACATCGATGAGAGAGAAACATCGATCAGCTTCCTCCTGCACATCTCCTACTGGGGATGTGCCCACAACCCAGGTACATGCCCTTGACCGGAATCGAACCTGGGACCCTTCAGTCCGCAGGCTGACGCTCTATCCACTGAGCCAAACCGGTTTCGGCCACTGTCCTATTGTTAAAGAAAATTGCCAAAACTCACAGCACATTAGGCAGAACATACGGTAAGATGTTTTAACAAAGATACAGACTCAGCAAATACACTTCTGAGAAAAGGCTCACCGTAAATTCCTAGAAAAAGTACAATCAAAGAGTGAGGTAACATGAGAAACTTACAAAATAAAATGTTTAAATAAATAATGATTGACCAAACAAAATATTCTCTAGGATGTGACGAATGTGAATCCCTCACACACCACTGGAAAAATGCAAAAAAGTACAATCAGTTAAGATTTATTTTATTTATTTTTTAAAAACAATCTTTATTACTTATTAGCATACCATAGAGCTCAGCTATTGGTTGAGTCACTCTATTCTTAGTGAGACATGCTCATAGACCAGCTGTGGGCAAACTACCGCCCTCGGGCCAGATCCGGCCCATTTGAAATGAATAAAACTATTGAAAAAAAAGACCATACCCTTTTATGTAATGATGTTTACTTTGAATTTATATAAGTTCACACAAACACTCCATCCATCTTTCTTTTTCTTTTGTACTCTTATTTTTTATTAAATTGTTATTTCAATCTTTAATTTCTCCATCTTTCTTTTGATGCCAGCGCAAAAATGGCTCTGATGAGAACTTCTGAGACACTACAGGAGCCACAAAACATCTTGATTATAATCAATGACAATGACGGCTCCACAGAAGATACACATCCCTGGAGTCCCTCAGATCTGTGCACAAACAGCTCTTGTGGTCTTTTCCTCAAAACAATTCCTGGATGCACAGTTAGGTGAGGACTATCCCATCTAAAGAGGTGCAGTCTCATCCAACCACAATTAGGTCAGTGTTGCTGTAGTGAAAGGGTTTTCCTTGAATGCCACTGTCCTCAAACCAGTGACCATCACCGGTGATATGGTAGGCATTAGGGCACAGGGCCCCCTGCAAGACCTGGGCAAGAGATTCACCTCACACGTACTGGCATCGCTTGCAAACAGGAAAAAAAATTCATGCTCCCAGACATACTTGAGGTTGTCCTAGCTACACTCTCTTTGGAGTGATCTCCGTGTCTCAACGCACCCATCTTCACATGAGAAGTAGAGTGTCCCAGTGATTCCTAGGAAAATATGGGCAGCAATGTAAATTTGCAAAAAACTGATGAGCTAATTTCTGAACCATACGGTTCCCCCAAGGGAAAAATGTTTGAGACCCCATAAAAGTGTTTCACCTCAACATGCTTGGAAAGCCCTGATCTCCTTATAAACTAACCGATACAGTAAATAGAACACCCCAGATTAAAGAAGTCTTAAGAAAAAGCCTTCATTATTTTAAAACCAAAGAGACATGAGACTGGCATTTCTTCCATTGATAACTTAGGCACGCAATAAATTCATCATTAGCATCTACGGAGAGTGTGTCCCTGAAAATGGCAGGCCCTCTGTAACATTATGTTTACTGGGGCCAACAGTAATGAGTCCTATGTGGCAACACAAGACAGGGAAACAAGTAAGAACCAAGGGCTCAGGTATTCCTCCTTTTTGTTGACAAATCTGACAACAGACATAGCTTCCCTGCCACAGGAGGATGGTGACTGATGCCATCTGTAGAGACCTTATAGGTGGTTCAGGTGAAATACCTTCAGCAACAGAAATGTGCAGTGACATAGATCTGGCAGGACATCTCTGTATGTTAGAACGTACAACATAATTACATAGTGTTCCAACATAAAAACACACACATAGAACAGCAAAAACACTTATGGGAACTTTACAAAAGATAGGTGATTAAATGTATAGGATATAATTCAGAAAAATGAGGATTAACAAATTTTCTTGTACTATTGTTAAGTTCTAACTAAGAAAATACATTTCCTACTCATCTAAGAAATTTCTCACATTTGTACTCTAGTGGAGAGCAAATTTAGAAATTTGGCTGAGAGATACCTCATATTAATTGCACTCATAAGGGCTTTCTCCATTGTGAACTCTCTGATGATATTGGAGACCACTGATACCTTTAAAACATTTCCCACATTCACTGCATTTATAAGGCTTTTCTTCCGTATGAACTCTCTGATGATAACGAAGTTTACTGCTCCGTGCAAAAGATTTTCCACATTTACTGCATTTATAAGGCTTTTCTCCAGTGTGAATACGCTGATGACAATGAAGGTTTCTAGTAGTGGTAAAAGATTTTCCACATTCACTGCATTGATAAGGCTTTTCTCCAGAGTGAACTCTCTGATGATATTGGAGACTACTGCTATGTGTGAAAGATTTTCCACATTCACTGCATTGATAAGGCTTTTCTCCGGAGTGAACTCTCTGATGATATTGGAGACTACTGCTATGTGTAAAAGATTTTCCACATTCACTACATTTATAAGGCTTTTCTTCAGTGTGAACTCTCTGATGACTACGAAGATAGGTGTTCGTGGTAAAAGATTTTCTACATTCACTGCATTGATAAAGGCCTCTTTTCCAGTGTGCAACTCTCTGATGACAATGAAGATTAGTCCTAGTGTTGTAAGCTTTCCCACATTCACTGCATTTATAAGGCTTTTCTCCTGTATGAACTCTCTGATGATAATGAAGGGCAGTGCTCCGTGCAAAAGATTTCCCACATTCACTGCATTTATAAGGCTTTTCTCCAGAGTGAACTCTCTGATGACGACGAAGAGAATCACTCCGTGTAAAGGATTTCCCACATTCACTGCATTTATAAGGCTATTCTCCTGTGTGAACTCTCTGATGAAAATGAAGGGTAATGCTCTGGGTAAAAGATTTTCCACATTCACTGCATTTATAAGGCTTTTCTCCTGTATGAACTCTCTGATGACAACGAAGGCTATATTTCAGGGTAAAAGATTTCCCACATTCATTGCATTTATAAAGCTTTTCTCCTATATGAACTCTCTGATGCTCACGAAGGGCAGTGCTTTGTGCAAAAGATTTTCCACATTCACTGCATTTATAAGGCTTTTCTCCTGTATGAACTCTCTGATGACAATGAAGGGTATGGCTCCGTGCAAAAGATTTCCCACATTCACTGCATTTATAAGGCTTTTCTCCTGTATGAACTCTCTGATGATAACGAAGGCCAGTGCTCTGTGCAAAAGTTTTCCCACAGTCACTGCATTCATAAGGCTTTTCTCCAGTGTGACCTCTCTGTTGATCATGAAAGCTAGAAAATTTGGTGAAATATTTTCCACATTCAGAGGACCCAAAACACCCACTTCCAAGTTGGACACCTTTTTCCTGAATAAATGTGTGGGTGCAACTAATGTCTCTCTTACATTCTTTTTTACTGTAATATTTTTTTCTCCTTTGAAACATCATCCCACACGTGGAAATTGCAGTTGGACTGTCCCTGGTCTGAATAGCCTTTAGGTGGAGATGTCCTGACCCGGTAAGAACACCCTGCCCAACCTCCCCGCATGTGAAATGATTCTGGGACACACTGAAATTGCAGCTGTTTGCAAGTGAGATCCTGTCCACACCTCTAATGAAAGTCTTCTCTGTCTCATGCTGCTGTTGAAATTTTGCACAGAAATAAAATCGTTTATCACATGACCCACACCTCAATAGTATCTGTCTGTGTTGTGTTCCCTGCAGCTCCATCACGTGGAAAATGTTTCCCAAGACTAGCCCACAACTCTCACAGGGGTGGCTCTTGCGGGATGACAAGCCTAACTTGGGATTCCTTGCCTGTGACACTCTTACTGTAACCTTCTGTTCAGTTGTTGCCTCCATAATTTCTGCTCCACAGCAGCAACCTGTTCAAAAGGAAACATAGGTAAAGTGCATGTTGACCTGATCAAAACATAATATCTTCACCACAATTGTTTATGTCTCAACTGGACATGATTCCATACAATGATTTTCAAGATAAGTAAGTTAGCTACTCAGGAAATGGCTGTTACATATAACATGGCCCAAAAGGTCACTGGATGATCAAAATCTCACCAAGGGAGAACAGAAGCATAGGCTGGCACAAAAAGAAGAGAGGCTGTGTCTGCTCGTTACTACTCCACAAATGGCTTCCTTTAGGACCTTTCATGCTGGCGATATGAGTCTGTGTAAAATAATTTCAATGTGCTCAAACCCATAAAATATCAATCATAGGAAAGTATGTGATGTTCAGCGTAAATAGAATACGTGTGTACTCTAAAGCTGTACAGGCATGCCACAACACTGGAGTGCAGTAAAGCCGAGATGTGTGACAGAGGTAGAGGTGCAAAGTTTAGAGAAGTTCAGGTTATCCATGGGCTGGGAATCCAAGTAGAATGATCACTATTAAAACTGAGTCATAGGCAAAGTTTCGACCTTAAGCAAGAAGAAGAATTGGGTGAGAAGTGGGCAATGGTAACAAAACATTTTTGTTGTTGAACAAAATGGCTTCCTAGTTATGAACGTAAAAGAGCCCAGGCATGAAAACCGCCCTCAGAGTCCTTCTCCAAGGCAAGACTGCCTCTGGGTCTACCCTTTCATTGATAAAGTCATCTTTCTCCTGTTACGCACAAAAGATTTTGCCTCTTAAATACAAGTTGAGCCACAGCATGAGATAAATGATGCAAATCTTAAAAGAAAAACTAAAATGAGGTATGGTCAGCACTGTGGTAGAACAACAAACCACAAATGAGATCACAGGCAAAAGACCTATGTGAGTGACATCAGCAAGATGGCAGAATCAGAGACAGAGAATCTTTCCCCATCCCAGAGTAAGTAGACAGCTATCCATGAGAAAAAATCCCACAGGAAATGGGAATAAGAGTACCATGAAGACAAACAGTAATACAGAATACCAAATAAGGACAACTGCATAGAAAGGATGACAGGAAACTGGGTGAGCAAACACATTTGAAGATATCTAAGTTCAAAAAAGGGTTAATAACTAACTAACTAAATAACTAAGGAAATAAATAAATAAAGGAATGAAGGGTCAGTCCTAGCTGGTTTGCTCAGTGGATAGAGTGTCAGCGTGCGGACTGAAAGGTCCAAGGTTCTATTCCACTCAAGGGCACATGCCCAGTTTGTTGTGGGTTCAGTCCCTGTAGGGGGCATGCAGGAGGGAGCTGATCAGTGACACTTTGTCATCATTAATGTTTCTCTCTCTCTCTCGCCCCCTTTCCTCCCAGAAATTAATAAAAATGTATTATTTTTAAAAAGAGGGTCAGCCCTAGCCAGTTGGGCTCAGTGGATAGAGCATCGGCTTGTGAAATGAAGGGTTCAAGGTTCGATTCAGGTCAAGGGCATGTACCTTGGTTGCGGGCACATCCCCAGGAGGGAATGTTCAGGAGGCAGCTGATCGATGTTTCTCTCTTATCGATGATTCTAACTCTCTATCCCTCTCCCTTGCTCTCTGTAAAAGATCAATAAAATATATTTTTTAAAAAAAGAAAACAAACTATTGAGGACTTGGAATGCCATTCCAGAAAATTTTTTCTGTTTATAAAACTTTGCAACAGCGTTACTCTCCATGTTTTCATCCACATACGCTTGTGAATCTTTGTTCTCAGTGATGAATTTTGTTAAGTCTCGTAATAGGAGTAGCCTGACGGATGAAAGTAGTAGCTCGTGCATATCTCTGAAGGTCACGAAATATAAACCTGATGTAAAATCTCCATCATCAGTGATGCAGCAGCAAAAGTCCCACAGATAATATCAAACGGAGTCATAAAGTTTTCTGTCGGACTATCAGTGTACATGTATACATTAAAAAATAAACGTATTTTTTCATCATCATATACTGTGTTTTTGGTGCTCAAATGAATTTTATTATTACTTCAAGATTCTTCACCTACGTACACCTTAAGAGATATCAAGTAGGTGTAACATGTTCTCAAAAAATTAGGGTTGGCATGCAGAAGAATTTTGAGTCAGAGATTTTGCTGGTTTTGCCAAGCACTCACAAAAAGATTGCCCACCCGTGAACTAGGAGATCACAATTGGATTCTTTGTTAGGGCACCTGCACTGGTTGCGAGCTCAGTCACCAGTGGAGGGTTGTGCAGGAGGCAGCTGATCAATGACTCTCTCATCATTGATGTTTTTATCTCTCTCTCCTCTTCCTCTAGAAAATAAAAAATACATATATTTGCACATCAAATCGATGTACATAGTCTCATGTGGTCCTTCCGTAAAATCTAGAACTCCAGGGATTGCTTCTTTTCTTTTGGCCTATCCTGAGTAACTGCAGTGCTTTCTTAGGGAAATGACAGGGCAAAGCTATTTTTCTTTTGGCTTTGGGCTGTATTGGTGCACTAAATCTTTATTCTAAAGAAATAAATGGAAACTTTCCTCTAATTTTTTTAAATGAAAATTTTCATTTACACCTATATTAAAATATTAATGAGAAAAATAAAATAATAATAATAATAATTTAAAGAATAAATAAATATACCTAGCCACTGTGCTTCACTGATGATAGTACTGCCTTGTAAACTTGAGGGGTAAGGTTTTATTCCTAGTCAAAGGTAGATACCTGGGTTGCAGGTCCGATCCCCACTCACAGTAGAGGCAACATGTGGGAGGCAGCCAATCGATATTTCTCTTTCTCTCTCTCTGTCTCCCACTCTCTCTATCTAAAAAAACAATCAGTGGAAAAAATATCCTCACTATTCGGGTGAAGATAAAAGAAGAATAATGAATTAAAATCAGAAAAGTTACAGGATGCAAAATACACATGCGACCATTAGTTCCATTTCGACAACCTAACAATAAATTCTTTGATGGCAAAATGAAGAATGTAGTCAAATTTACTAAAGAATCAAAAACAGCCCTAATCGGTTTGGCTCAGTGGATAGAGCGTCGGTCTGCAGACTAATTGTCCCAGGTTCAATTCCGGTCAAGAGCATGTACCTTGGTTGTGGGCACATCCCCAGTAGGGGGTGTGCAAGAGGCAGGTGATTGATGTTTCTCTCTCATCAATGTTTCTTTTTTTTTTCTTTTAAAAGATATTTTATTGATTTTTTACAGAGAGGAAGGGAGAGGAATAGAGAGTTAGAAACATCGATGAGAGAGAAAAATCGATCAGCTGCCTTCTGCACACTCCCTAATGGGGATGTGCCCACAACCAAGGTACATGCCCTTGACTGGAATCGAACCTGGGACCCTTGAGTCCGCAGGCTGATGCTCAATCGACTGAGCCAAACCGGTTAGGGCTCTCATCAATGCTTCTAACTCTCTATCCCTCTCCCTTCCTCTCTGTAAAAGATCAATAAAATATTTTTTTTTAAAATAAAAAATAAATAAAAAAGAATCAAAAACAATAAAACCCAAGGGAATAAATTCAACCAAAATGTGAAACACCTGTACAGGGACTACTATAATACAGTGATGAAAGGAATGAAAGAAAACCCAAATCAGTTGAATGACAACCTGTGTTCATGGATCAGAAAATGAAATATGGTGAAGATAGCTATAGTACACAAGGCAAACTACAGATTAAATGCAATCCCAATAAGTCCAATGGTATTTTACAAAGAAATGAACAGAAAATCTGGAAATGGTACCAAAAGACCTCCATTAACAAAAGCAATCTTTTTAAAAAAATACATTTTATTGATTTTTTACACAGAGGAAGGGAAAGGGATAGAGAGTTAGAAACATCCATAGGAGAGAAACATCCATCAGCTGCCTCCTGCACACTCCATACTGGGTATGTACCCGCAATCAAGGTACATGCCCTTGACAAGAATCGAACCTATGCCCCTTGAATCCACCAGCTGAGCCTCAATCCACTGAGCAAAACGGGCTAGGGCAGTGGTCGGCAAACTGCGGCTCGCGAGCCACATCCGGCTCTTTGGCCCCTTGAATGTGGCTCTTCCACAAAATACTGGCTTCTGTGCATGGACCATGACGTTTCAATTGCACTGTACATGCGCATCTGCAGGTGGTATTTTGAGAAGAGCCACTCTCAAGGGGCCAAAGAGCCGGATGTGGCTCTCCAGCAGCAGTTTGCCGACCACTGGGCTAGGATAACAAAAGGTATCTTGAGCAAGAAGAAAGCTGGTGGCATCACACTTCCTGACTTCCCTTTATTACAAAGAGGAAGCAAGCAAACAGTGTGTTGCTGGAGAA